TAGGATTTTTTTTTCCCTGGGATATTTTTTTTTCTGGGATTTTTTTTTCTGGGATTTTTTTTTCTGGGATTGTTTTTCCTGGGATTGTTTTGTTTTTTCCTTGGACACGCCAGGGCTGGGCTGGATTTTCCAGTGTTTATCAATTCTGTGTTCATCACCAATATATTTATCAATTCATATCTGTATTATTTAACATATTTATTATCCTTATTAATTAATACATTTCCCAGTTATTAATTAACATCTTTAATGATGCCCTGGGTGATGGTTCCGGGTGACACCAACCCAGTCCCACCATTGCTGCTGCTGTTCCCTTCCCACAAAAATATCATTTATTATCTTTATAATTGATTATCTTTATTAATTAACGCATTCCCCAATTAATACATTTATTAATGAATAAATTAATTTATTTATTCATTATTTACTGGCTTTTTTGGATAGCCTGGGCAATGGTTCCAGGTGACACCATTGCTGCTCACACCATCCCCAGTGTTCCTTTCCTGTACCCCGATCCCACAAAAATATAATTTAATATCTTTATAATTTATTCTCTTTATTAATTAACACATTCCCCAATTAATACATTAATTAATCAATGCATTAATTAATTTATTTATTATTTAGTCACCTTTTCTGATGCCCTGGGTGATGTTTCCAGGTGACACCAACCCTGTTCCCCATTTGCCCCTCACCCCATTCCCACTGTTCCTTCCCCACCTTGGATCCCACAAAGATATCATTTATTATCTTTATTATTTATTAATTAACACATTCCCCAATTAATACACTGATTAATTAATGCATTAATTAATTTATTTATTATTTAATCACCTTTTCTGATGCCCTGGGTGATGTTTCCAGGTGACACCAACCCTGTCCCCCCTTTGCTCCTCACCCCATTCCCGCTGTTCCCTTCCCATACCCCAATCCCACAAAGATATCATTTAATATCTTTATTAATTAACACATTCCCCAATTAATACACTTACTAATTAATAAGTAAATTTATTTATTGTTGATGCCCTGGGTGATGTTT